GGACACCATCGGGATCCTCAGGGCGTTGCTAATAGCTTCGCCGTAGTCCTCACCCCGTGTCCGCCCAGCTCTGACTCCTAACCCCGGAACTCCGGAACTCTGGCAGCACAGTCCTAACACTCTGATCCCAACTCTTGTCGGTCACAGACTGGTTTCTTCTTGAAACTAGCAAATGGGATCTTCTCGTGGCAATCACGAGCACAAAAGACCATTGCTCTTTCTTCTACGGAAGCTGAGTACATGGCAATGAGCGATTGCAGTCACCAAGTGGTCTGGGTTCGCAACCTGTCGCGGAGACTAGGCGCGACGGCCTGAGGCTCAGCGATCGGCGCCAAGTCGAGCATAGCGTAAGACTGAGGACGTAGGAGGAGAGGGAGAGAGAGGGAATATACAAGGCAGAGGGCGGGCGACGGTGCGGATAGAGGGGTCTCGCACGGTACGGCACCGACGTACCAGGGAACCGAACCAAGGGTCGAAAGGGCCGGGGCGGCACGGAGGCACAAACCTACCAGCAAGACGTAGCGGCACGCAGGCACAGGCTAGTCCCCAATGACGTAAGTATATTGACAAGTACGAAGATACAGCTAGTAACTCACCTAGTCCCCAATGACGTAAGAGGTCGAGATGGGGACTAGGGGCTAAAGGGCTCTACTCTATATACCTGTAGACCGGTGCACAGACCATGTAGCTATTTGTATGTGTTTGGCACGACCAGAGGCTTGAGGGCTTAAGTACTAGGCACGAGTCAGAGGGGTGTATGTCGTACTAACTACTGTGGGGTGATCCTTATCTAATCTAACGATCGTGAGGCCATGAGGGAGGGAGCGTGGTGGCAGTGCATTGCCGGGGGTATGTAGACGCTTAGACAGAGCGCCAGGAACCTGGATGCCGACGTGAGGCTGCACGTGGCGAACATCGTGGTGCTGCTGGAAAAGGGCGCTGTATGGAGCGCTGGTGGGCTTGGAGGGGGGGAACGGCGGATTCCGAGGTGTTGTGGGCGCTGAGAGGTGAGAGTCCCGGTCCGTACGGTTGGAGAAAGGCAGGCAGAGGGTGTCATGGGCGCTATGCGGAGCGCGGCCGTGACACAACCTACTTGCTAAACTTGACTACCATGTCGATCACATACCTCTATCCGGAGACAATCAAGGATCGATCTTCATTGCATCGAATCCTGTGACGGAGTCAAGGTCAAAACACATTGACATCCGATATCACTATATCCATGAGGTACATGATAAAGGAATCGTTGATGTCTTCTATATAGACGGAAACGACAATCCTGCGGACATCTTTACCAAGAACCTTAGTGTAGTGAAGTTCTTGAAATTTCGCTCACAACTTGGTCTCCGCTTCCCAAAGTCTAGAGCTGCTTAAAGCGCCTGCTACGCTTGCGTAACCATTCGGATACTTAGCGAGGGGGAGTGTTGAACAGGCGCTGGTTTACACAGCTTGTCTAACACAGCTGTCACAAGATATGGAACGGCACAGCCAGTTACTGCAATAACCGAGGCTGTACTACTCATATAGTACACACACAGCTTCACTGTGTACGCACTGCTTCTCTGTGCGACTGTGCATCCTGGGAATGTACTGTATAGTACTATGTAGCCACAGATGTATAGTAGTATATATAGGGGACCTCTGTATCCCCAATCTACAGTTCAGTTCACTTGAACGTCTCCTCTCATCGCTCTAACAAGCCTCTTACTATCAACCAACCCTTCTAGGTGAGTTGCAGGCTATCCGCTGTCGTTGCCACCCGTGGGAGAGGCTTTCGCCCCCCCCGGGTTCAACAGTCGGGGAGCGGATCACATCCTCCATTGTGAAAGTGTCTGGCTTGTTCCCACTTTCAGCTACATGTGTTGTTACTTTCAGCGCAACTTGGGTAGATTAGGGGACACCACTCACCCCACACCTCCTTGAAGTAGGCGCGTAAGGTGCGCTTCATCCAAAGGATATCCTCACTTCCCGTCCACTTCCACAAACGCACAGTGCCGTCCTTGTCGTAATCCAAATCCCATGAACGCGCTTTGCGATTGGCCCCTTCCACGCCTGTTGAGCACGAGCACATCTCCTAGGCACGTAATTCCTTATCTACAACTGTGGATACCCACTTCATCCACCGCTCATCCTCTTCCGGTGCAGGACCGCCCCCAAAGTGCGCGAACGACATCGCTTTCTCATCCTCCGCCAATGAAAAACTAAATCGTGTCCACGTCATTGGGAGGGACACCTCTACACCAGACGAACTAACTTACTCTTCGTAGATGAGCTGCCCATCAGGGCTCCTGTAAGCCAAGCGCACTGTGAAGCACGATTTGCCTATCTTGTTGGGCCCAATGCCAATTAGGTCACTCATCAAGCTAACAAGCAGCTTCGTGACGCTGAACTGATTACTGCAACTGGGATCAGCGTACACTCCACCTGCAGATTGGCAGCCAAACGTACACGTAACACTGCTCATTGTCAGGCACGCTCAGCTCCTCCGCTTTCTTCACCCACTCGGACCGCTCCGCCTCCTCCAGCTCGTTATGCCATATGTACGACACGCATCCTGACCAGCTACCAATTTGTTTGCCGCCTGTAGCCTGGATGCGCTCCTGCACGCGGGCATTGTTTTTGCTACCCCACAGTCGCATGGGTGATACCTTCCGCGCCCGCAAAGCGTTCGCTAAAGGGTTATCGACGATCTTCCCCCTGCGTGTGGTATCATTGCTTCCCGTGCTCTTGCTAGGGAGGGGCGCACATCCGTCCTTAGCATTGTCTGGGCAGTCATTCTCAACCAATGCCTTCAATACGTCGTTGGCTACGTTGTTCCTATTGTTGTTCAACCAGGAAGTGGCGGCCTAGTCCACCTGGTCACAATGGCACGCATGTCAGATGAGGCACACAAGACTCACAGCTTTCAGCTTGTCCGTGCCAAAACGTTGAACCATGTCCTTCGGAAAGTCGCGCTCCATCATCTGCAGTATGGCTTCCTTCAGCCAAGCCCTTTTACCAGGAACATCGCCATCCCTGAGGAAGGCTTGGTATGCGGGAAGCAGCGCGATCAGACCCTGGAGGGCGGAGGGCCACTTCTTCCACACCACTGATCCCTTCGCAGGACCGGTGTCGCTCTCGTTGGACACTCCGGGGGCTCCAGGTGGATGTTGTTCAGATGAGTGTGAGGAGGATGCGGAACTCATAGGAGCAAGCGCAGCAAATTGGTGGGGGACGACGAGGCACAACAGAGTGGTGGAGGAAGCAGGAGGCGATCACCCCCCCCCCTTCCGGCTTTGGAATGGGCCTCCTCATGAGGCGTGATTGCTATCCCCAGTGCTCATTCTTCTGACTCAGCCTCCCTCCCCAGGAGACCCTCTCGTTCACTCTCTACATCATCTCTCACCATGTCAACCTCCTTTTCTCCTGGGGGTGGTGGTACTGTCTTTATGGTTCTGGACATCCACACACATTGAGATGAAGGCATGATATATGTCAGCCACATGATTAAGAAAACCATTAAGGTACGCAGATGTGATAGGTCCTCAAGCAGATGTGTCTACCAGAAAGCTGGGATGAAGGTGAGGTTAAGAGGTCCATAGACGGGTATCATGGTCCAGGAGCCTGGTTCCAAGTCCGATGTCGCGGGAAGAAGATCACACTAAAGACAAGAACGTATAGTGTTGGGGCGACATCACAAAGGGAGTGAAAGAACTACTGAAAGGAACGTTGGAACATCATTAGAGGGTATGGGGTCTGTTGAACTTGGACTTATCCAGTCTGGACTACACGAGGCTATGCGTCTCCTAGCGCTTAGCTGTGGTCGGTTATGTAGTATGCTACCATATTTGGGACTCTCTGCTCGTGTACTATAGCTATGCTTCCGGACTCTTCTGGTACTGTCTAGGACAATCTGTACTACTCCAGAACAGTCTAGACAGGTCTATGCTTTACTCATCTCTTACTCATCCTATGGTGCGATATGTCGCAATTCTTTCGTTGTTGTATTATTCATCGCACTATGGTACATGTGACTGACCACTCTTCAATTAGTCATGGACACTTCTCTGTAGTATATAAGGACTTCAGATTGTGTCCTCCCTCTTCAGTCTTTCCTTACTGACTGAAGAGTGAGTACTTCCTTACCTCTACCTTTAACTGTCACAGCCAACGAGCTGTGCCACCAAAACAAACAAGGGCAAAGCTTACTGATGCAGAGGTTGGTGCTGAGAAGCGAAGCAACCAGAGGTGACGCAGCAAGAGATGTGAAGAGATGTATTCCCTAGACTAGAAGGGGTAGTGAGGGAGGTAGGGCTGCTAGCTACCTACAGAGGAGATGGGGAATCGACGAGAAGATCAAGTCTGAGGTTCCCTGCCTCAGACTCCCTACTATATATACTAATACAATGGTGCACAGACCAGGTACCTATTGACCATCGTTTGGTCAGAGTTCTCTGCCTCATGTC